GGGGGGGGGGGGGGGGGAGGTCAAGGATTAAAAGGGTTTTACTATAAACATGTCAAAATAAAGAATATTCCTAGGTTTAGGAAATATACTACCTTGTATCCTGTTCTTGAATATATTCATAGAACAAATATATTCAAACATATGTTTGTTGGAACGTATACATACATTGTACATTGTACATTGTACATTGTACATGTATAATGATGTAGAAACACATACTATACCTGCAAAATACGACAATTTCAAAATTATCGTTTAATTTTCATCTATTTTGTTCTTTTTGTCGCTGAACGATCGTTCAGTAAAAAAAAGTTCATTTGTTTGAAAAATTCTTCATTCAGAAAAACGATAGTTTTTTCAAAAGTTTGTTCCAAAAACCGTTGGTTCATTAATACTTTTTTAATCTTTTGAAAAACTCGTTTGTTCAGTAAAAAAATTATCGTTTTTTCAAGTTCTTTTTTTTCGTCTAATTTTTCTGAACAATCAATTTCGTTTGTCAATAGTTCGTTTTTTTTTAATCAAAAAAATTTGTTCGTTCAAAAAAATGTTGTTCATTAAAAAAACCGGTTCCCATCTTTTTAAGGTATGGACCGACTTTTGTAACAATTACAGATACAGGCAAACCGGGACGGTACGCCAAATGAATGTTTCACTAGAAGGACTGGCGTAACGGCGGTAAAGTAGATATTCTGCCTTTAACGGTTGTTTTTAGCAATTAATAGTATTAGCTGTTCAGAAATTACGCAAACCGCCAGACAAGTTTCGTTAACGGTTTGTTAATTTGTTAATGGTTTTAAGTATTAATGGTGTTAATGGTTTGCCAAAACTTCAAAATTTCCATAAAAATCGTTATCTGTTTATCAAATTGGATTAACGACACAAGTCGTCACCAAAATACAAAAAAAAATTTTAAGTTCCATCATGTTAATAAATGAAGGAGGACTGAATTTTCACGCATTTTTAAACGAAAAAAAAAGAACAAAGTTGCTTTTATTTTTTAAAACCCATACATTTCGTTTTTCCGTAGTACATTTGAATTTCCGAGCTGGGTCAACCTTTCCGGTCTCAGTTTGTACTGTACCTAGCTCTATGGGCAGGACTAGCCTGTTCAACAAGGTTGACGAGGTCAAAATTTATGCTTCATATAGGCTGAATTTACTTTTACTAAAGGGGCAGATTTGCATGAGTCTCAATCAAATAAAGGAATATTGAAAATAATTTTTACAAACTAAATATGAATTGCTTTAAAACAAATCAAGTTATTAAAGGGAGTGACCGGCTATGTAAGGTAATTGAACTGAGTATGAGGGTGTCGAAAACTTCTTTAGGATTCATTTGAGATATATTTCACTTTTTAAAGATCTGTAAATCCTGAGTTTGAGCGATTTTTTTAAATTATTAAATAACGACAACGAAAAATAAAGTAAAAATTATACAATAATCTAATTAGATGGCTAGGAACATATTTCACAAAAGAAATTTTTCAATAAATCAATGCTAAAATCGATTATTTCGTTTTCATAATTATATTGAATTTCTAATTTTCTTTGAATTTATTCGCAGATTTCTTCAAATTCTTTAAATGTCGTCTTTTCTATAATAATTATAGAAAATCTGCGAACATCTTTGTGAATAACGTGAAACTAGAATAATGAGATAATAGAAACTAATAATTGAACAAGATTACTTATTTTCGATGATAAGATTAATTTTTATTTTCTCAAAATGTTCCTAAGCATGACGTCTGTAGTTTATTGTAGAATATTTTTACATTTTATGTCGTCGTTAATTAATAATTTAAAAAAACTAATTCTGAAAGCGTATCCACCCCCAAATCAGGAGTTTTGAACGTCGAATTTGCGCTCAAACTCAGGATTTACAGACTTTAAAAAGTGAAATACGTCTCAAATGAATCCTAAAGAAGTTTTCCACAATACTGCGTCCTCAGTTCAACTACCTTACATAGCCGGTCACTCCCTTTAACAATTACTTTTTTCTTCTTGAACAGATAAACGTTTAAAGGATACCTTCGTGAGCAAAGAGAATAGAATATATATTAGAGTGGAATTTAGACAATTCCTCGGTATGAATTTTGTCAGTCCCTTTCAACCTGAAAGGGAGTTCAAAGTGCACGAATCATGTGAATGTTCACAAATTAAATGCAGTAGAGTACAAAAATACAATATGTTCCCTAGACTATCCATTTTAATTTCGAAATTTTTTATAACTGTTAAATAAACTTTAGAAAATGAATTAGGTGAATAAAAACATCATTTGATTTATAGTTATAACGGAAAATCATCGTTTGTAAAGTGAAAGGCATAGAGTCTATGTGAAATGATCATTGGTCAATTATGAAACCAGCCAATTTTATAATTTGGTTTTGTTTTAATATTGATTTTAGATTTTATATAAAATGATGTTCCAGGGCCCAAAAGGTTATATAGCACAAATATGTGAAGTACACCTGCAAAATGAAAACAGTACAACAAAATGGCCGTTTTTCACTTTTTTCTAGTAAATTCCACTCTAATATATATTTTCTATTCTCTTTTTTGTAGTCACTTTAAATTATGCATACACTAATACAATTCCTTTAACTCAAAAGCAAATTTTTTTTATTAAAAATTTAAAAATTTCCTAACAAAGAAAGATGTAAATAATTAAATCAAAATAAAAAAGAAAACACAATTAAAGTATTTATTGCAACATTTAAGCATTACATAATAAACTCTACGGTACACTTTTTATGTTTTAATCGTATTCATATTCAGTAAAATATGGTAGTTTTTCATAGTAAAAACATAGCTTTTTTACGATTTATAGACAACTGAAGTGCGTAAAGAGATATATGTGTACACATATTCACAATCATAAATTCAGCCATACACATTTGTACTTAAGGATGATGAAAATACATGAGTCCATTTTCAAAATGCCTTGTATTCATCATAATTCAAAATAAATAATAAATACAAATAAAAAATCAGAATTTGCTTACAGATGTAAGACAAGTAGGAAAAATAAAATGCAAATCAATGATTTTGCTATTGATCAATTTTCAGTAGACACAAGAGAAAGTGCTCCTGAAAATGCAATTGCTCACATCGCAATATCACTGCTTTGCATCGGAACATCTTTTTTAATGCAAAAATAATTGCCAGCTAAATGTAAAATTCACAATTTTTGCTTGCTACATATTTTTTGCTAAGCAATTGGGTTACAAAGTTATAGACAACCAACCTTAAAATAAATAATGTGTTCATCAAAAAGTAAGTTTTGATATAGATACGGGATTAATATAAAGCTTTATAGGCTCTATATTAGCAAACATAATACTGGAATGCCCTTATAGTCTAGTCCTGATAATTCAGACCGATAGGATTCAAACAAAGCTAATGGCACCAAAGATTAATTTGGAAATTATTGCTTAGACAAAGACGACATTTCTTCGGTCCTTCACTCGTCTTCCCTGTCTCCTGAAAAAGTAAAGAATTTTAGAAAAATATTTTTTTTGTGCATTCGGTCCTTCATGTTTTATAATCGACTTAACAAAGTTAATAAAACACTTGACGATTTAAAATTTTTTTTAGAATTTTTGATTAATTCAAAATTCATATCAATTTGCTTATTATGATAACTTTTAATGGTCCGCTGAATTTAAAATGTTATATTACCGTACTGGCACGATCTGTAAGACATATATATGATAATTGTACTGCATAAAATTTTACTTGTACTGTCCTTGCTTTTTATTTGAAGACAGCAAAATATGGTTATAACAGAAGAAAATATAGCACAGCGCAATTGCATCTGTTAATAAAAAGAAGCCATACCAGTACAGTTTTATGTAAACGGTGATTCAGCCTATTAAGGCCCTAATTACTCTAGGCATGCTCTAATTTTCTAATCCCTATATCTTTGTACCTGTCATTTTTGTTCTGTGACGAAATAGTCCAATTTTGAAATGACAAGTGTTTTCACCATAAGGTTTCAGAAATTTGAGAATGCTTAGTTTTCTTGTTTTCTTATTATTTACCTGTTATTTCTTCTGGGTGAGCTAAATGCACGTCCTTGTCTAGCTGGAGGTCCGTATAGAGCTAGAGGTTCCTCAGTAGTAGGAGCTGGTCTAGGAGTAGTCTGGGGCCTCACAGCCAGAGTAACCTCTGGTACATCATACTGGTAGCCAGGGGTGGTTGTCACAGTAATAGCAGGAGCCTGGGCATCACTGGCAACTGTAAAGAGCAATAATAATGACTTTTTAGTCTATCATATCATATGGTTTAAATATAATTCTGAGGGTAAAATAATTCTCTTTTAAGCTATCTTTATTGAAACAGGAGCATATTATGAATGAAACCTTTAACAATTCTCGGTCTTTCTTTCAAATCATTTCGACGAATTCCTAGGATAATTGTTTAAAACAAACCAGTACTATCTGATAAGTTTGTTTAACAAAGTTAAATCAGCTCTATTTCTTCACTAAACATAATTACACTTGATGTTTTCTTAATTTATTTGGTCAGTGTCCAACTCTGCAGAGGGTTATTTAAATATGTAAATCTTTAAGTTAACCTTGATTTTTGTAACTCACATTTCATTAGCATCGGCTAAAAACTGAAGTGAGCTGCTGAGAACCAGGTATGCAAAAACTAGGCCTATTTCCATATTTATGCATGAACAAAAACTATCTTTACCTTGGGGTGCATCTCCGCATGTGTTTGCGCAGCCATCAAAGCAGCAGAGTCCGCTATTGGGACAATCTGTGTCTCTTTGTCCGGGGGACCAGCAGGTAGATACAGCACCTTGTATTCAATTCATTAATCTTTATTTCGGGCATGTATGGTTGATACAGAACTTTTTCAGCAATCAATGAATCCATAAATCAATTAATCAAGAAATTTATATTCATTAGTTCAAAGCAAGGATGTAATGCAAGGAAAGTTATTACAGAAATGTACACATCTTTTGTACTGCAGTGGGGTGTCTCTGGGCGCTAATGTAAACACAAGACAGATATCGAAGCCTGACATGGGATCCATCTTTCACATAAAAAAATCAATGAAATATTCTGGTCATAGGAAACTATTATGTGAATTATCAAAATTATCAAATTTAATGCTTTTAACCTCCTCGGATTCTAAACGAACACTGATGCATATATTTTTGTTTACAAATTCCGCCCAGAGTGAACTGGTTTCAATATGTACGCAGAGTATACACGACAGCAATTAACTTTCCTTGCATTACAACCTTGGTCCAAAGGACCCCCATAATGCAAATGGATACATATTCACCTCGTAACTAATTAATCAATCATACTCTCTTTTAATCAATCCAACCGTATCTTTATTCAGGATATCGGCTTACAGTTCAATAGAATATCATGTAATCATTCAATAGATTTGACCCTATGATGAATAGATAAAAGGCTGACCTGCACACTGTGCGTCTGACCCCTGCTGTGCTGCTGGACAACTTCCTGCGTCGCTAGCATCTCCACCCTTTAATCATCATTATCAGTTTTAAACATTTATCATTTTAGGCACCGGGAAGCATTTAAAATGTTGTCAGAAAAGAAATGAAGCTTTAAAACATATTTCTAAAGATGAACTCTGTCTTTAGTTTTTGCAGTGATTTAACGGTCAAAAATAAAGCCTAAATGAGGTATCTTTAACAATTTACTAATTTCAAAGTTCAACAAACTACTTTTAAACTCACTGATGGGACTTTGATTGACACCATGGTTAAAAAAAAAAAAAAAAAAAAATTTGTTAGACATTGGTGTCCAAATTTAATGAATTTAATCCACGTCTCACCCCCAAAACCGGTTTAAATTGACCGCCGGCGTAAATTAAAAAATTTGATACAAATTTAAGTGAAACCAACCAAATTTGAGCCGCGGCTTAAGTTTAAACCACGACTCAAATTCTTTAAATTGGACCTTGGAGCAGAGACTTTAAAATGCTTGCTGGGATTTAACCAAAATTATTGTTATGCTGTATTCAATTTTCTGGAATTATGTAATCAAATTGTTTAAAAGTGTTTTTAAATATTAAATTATTTTTTTGCTTGTATAAAAACTATTAAAAACTACTGCCTGAGTTCCAAATGCTCCCTCAGCCAAGCCATAAAGTCCAGTAGAGGCCGCACAGTCAACGTTATACCTAGAAATAGATATGCAATATTATATATATGAGATATACAATATTATATATATGAGATATACAATATTAGATATATGAGATATACAATATTAGATATATGAGATATACAATATTAGATATATGAGATATACAATATTAGATATATGAGATATACAATATTAGATATATGAGATATACAATATTAGATATATGAGATATACAATATTAGATATATGAGATATACAATATTAGATATATGAGATATACAATATTAGATATATGAGATATACAATATTAGATATATGAGATATACAATATTAGATATATGAGATATACAATATTAGATATATGAGATATACAATATTAGATATATGAGATATACAATATTAGATATATGAGATATACAATATTAGATATATGAGATATACAATATTAGATATATGAGATATACAATATTAGATATATGAGATATACAATATTAGATATATGAGATATACAATATTAGATNTTATTATAGAATTATTATATATACAATATTGTAACTAGAAACAGAGAAACATTTTTAGATAAATGAATCAATGCTGACATTCAAAAAAATATTGTAAAAGAATTTAAAAACAGTCGAAAATATGCTAAAAATGTAAGAATAAATGAATAAAAACCATGAAATTACTGAACCTTAAATGCGTTTATAAAAACGAAGAAAAAAGATAAATGATGTTTCAATCCTAACTTCAAGTATATTCTTCCTTTTAAAATATTTGAGATTTGAAGATAATTTATTGATTTTTTCGGAACACCAATAATTATTCATCGCGTTTGAAAAATATTTATACATATTTTTTTCCCTATTTGAACAAAGCAAGATATGAATTGATGCATTGTTTTGGGATAGGTTTATGGATAACAAACACCCCTGAAAATACTGGCGTTGAATTTTTGGAAGTTTTCGATATATCATCTTAAATTCAAAGGTCAAAGGGGAGGCCGATGATAAATTATTATTCCCCCCCCCCCTCCCACCCCAATCCCAAGTCCTCTGAACAAACATTTAAACAAACATTAGTTAAAATATCAAATCAACTCTTGAATATTTTTGTTTTGAAGTACAGCTTTAATTCTATAGGGTATAATTTCTAAAAACAAAAAATGTAGGAATTATTGTACCATGAGATAGTATATTCACAAAACCTTTACGCTATAAATGGGCTCTTCAATTAAAATTAAACCCATTACCATCTAACCTTGTCACAAAAAGAAAACAATGCGTCTGTAAAAAGCTGCGTAATGTATACAGTGTACGCACAAGCTCGCCAAGGAGGATGGGTACGCAAAAACTGCGTTTAAGGTGATGGAGCATCGACAGGCTTGGAACCTTTGCTTGGAAATTTAGACACCGGAAATGAGAAGAGTAGTTCAAGTACGTTTTCAAAGTGAACATGGTACATGGTACATATATGATGTCATGAACATGGTACATGGTACGGTACATGGCACATATATGATGTCATGAACATGGTACATGGTACATATATGATGCCATGAAGATGGTACATGGTACATATATGATGACATAAATGACCGAGGTGTCATATATCTAGGGATGGATTTTTTAAAATTTGTCGTTTTTTTTAAACGTTTCCGAAAACGACCCCCCGATTGTGTCATAAAACTCAGATACGTTTGCGACATTTTTTCAAAAACTATCGTTTTTCGTTTTTGAAAGTTCAAAACGAATGGTTCGTTTTCAAAAACGACAGTTTCTGTTTAAAACAAAACGATCTTCTTTTGAAAAAAGTTAAAACGAAACGAATAACTTTCGTTTTTCGAAATGATTAACAACCCTACTGCATATATAATTATATCCTATACAAATAAAACATTGTTTTTATTAAATATTTTATTTCAATGGACTTTTCAAAAGTGTCATTAGATCTAATTATAAATAATATCAGTTTCATTTCTGACAATAATTATTTAATGATTTTGTTAATCAATGATAGCACTTTTGATTGAAGATAGCTAAGCATAATGTTGAAAATCTATTAAAATATGTATTTTTCTCAAACTAAATAATTGTATGGTTCCTAAGTAAAGACGTGTAGAACTAAACAAAATTGTTTAACCGACTTTATGAATAAAAAATGACAGGTTATTAATTTATCCATCATACTCTTCCCCCCCCCCCATCCCT